GAGAGAGAGAGAGAGAGAGAGAGAGAGAGAGAGAGAGAGAGAGATGTGATCACATTCCGCAGTCTTTCAGGGAAAATCTAACAGGTAAGGTCAGTAAAATTTTAGTGAAAGGCTGAAGACATTTCCAGACCGAATATCCGTGTTTTAAGGAAAAAATGACATCTGAAGTAGTTGAAGAATGTGATAACGAGAACAGGAATCGAGAATATTCGAGATTCGATAAGCGATCTGTCTCCCCAGTGAAAAAAGTTCAAAAAACATGTCAAGACCTGAAAGACATGCTCTGTGTCTGCCTGCATCTTTGTGTCCTTTTCTTCCTCCTCCTCTTCCTCCTGATGAGGACAAATAAGTTCACCAAAAAAAACAAGCTGAGCATTTGCGCAATCAAGTAATCAATGCACTGACCTGCCAACGCATTGACCAACCAATTAATCCATTGATTGATTGATTGATTGATTGATTGATTGATTGATTGAATCAATGTACCAAATCAAAATCAAATCAGATTAACGTGTAACTGATATCTGCTTCTCGCCGGAGAAAGGGCATGACGTCTTCAAATGCGATATTTTCAACCCGTGCAACCTCTTCCATGAGAAGGTTCCATTTAAAGTCCTTGAGCGAGTTTTCCCCAAATTTAGCCCAAGAAACATTGGAGGCAATTTTGTCAACATCAGCTTCAGAGGACTCGAGAAGCGCGGAGCGTATTTCTGGATCGATCTGGGCATTGCTCTTTCTTTCCTCTGCTGCAACGAGTTCATCCTTGATCTCTTCCCTCTGCTCGTGCTCAGGCCTGGTATCCTTCGGCAATTCCTTCTTTACGCCGATGGCCTTCACAGTGACCGTGAATCTGGCCTTAACATTCCGGAGGTGCGGAGCCTTGAAGTCAGGTGGAAAGACGACCATGAAGGTCTTACTCTCTTCCTGGCCCATGCCAGTACCTGTAATCTCTTCGACAAAACGTTTCCATGGATAATCTGGTCGTTCCTTAAGCTCGAGGTCGTACATATCGGCCTTCGTGCCTTGAATAAGTTGCCCTGACTTGGGTCCTTCAGCATACTTTCCCTCAAAATTAATCTTCACAGTGTGCCCCAGCTTGGCTCCAGAGCCGGTGAAGTTTATGCGTTCGAATTCATGGGTCTTCTCCCTTTTCTCCTTAAATGCTCTCTCCACTTCTTCATCTGTGACCTCATGTTTTGTGGCTTTCACCTTGATTACTCCACCTTTATAAGGTCCTAAAACCACCTTCACTTTCTGTAGGGTTCTGCCCCTGCTATACTCACCTGTATCTTCAGTTACCTTCGGCTGCATTGCTGTGGTTGTGGTGGGCGAGGTCGAGCTTTGTGCTGCCGGTTTCTCTCCACTAGAGGCAAAGCACGCTCCTCCAGATGTCATCACTCTCCCCTTTCTCCTTCCCCTCTTCTCTCCTTGCCCTTCCCTTCTTGCAACTCCCCCTCCACTAGAAGACAGGCACAAACTCTTTCCGGATGATCCTTCCAAAGCTCCTCCGCGCTTCCATCTCTGCCAACTGCTTGTTCCCACAGATAACTTAGAGCACCTCTCTCCCGCACTTCCTCCCCATAGTCTTTCACAACTTGCAACAGATGCGAAATCGAGTCCCGGGAAAAACTTTTGCTGACATGTCACATGCATAATTGTCTCCCCTCGACAGCAGTTCCTTTGCGATCGACAATGCACCGACTGCATCAAAGCTGATGACGATGAAGTCATACTTTTTGCACACATCGGCACTGGAGACCCCACTGCCGTCCTTGCCACTGCTCCTGCCATTATTCAGAAGCGCCTTTTCTCTCTCTGCCAGTATTCTC